TGGCCGGGACAGCACCTGGGGCGCCCGGCGCCGCCGCCCCCCAGCTGTTGGGAACAGCTGCTTCTCTCCCCGCGCGGCGCGGTGCGGCTCGGCGAGGCGCTGGGGCCACCGGCTGGGGTTGGGCTGGGAACGGCTGCTGGCGGCCTTGCTCTCGGAGTCGTCGTCGCCTACTCTTTACCCGTCAGTGTTCTGGGGACCCGCACAGCTCCGGCAGCGACCCTGCTCGAGCGCGGAGAATGCGCCCCGGCAGTGGTGGGAGGGGAGGAGGTGGGTGGGCGGGGGAGGGGGGGCGAGTGGCTTCCCAAAGCCGACAATGCAAGCCTTCTGCTCTAGGCCTCTGTGACTAGGCCAGTGGTCGTGGGGAGGGGGTCCCCCAAGGCTCGAGGAGGTTGGCGGGAAGGCCCGTTCCCCTTCTGACACCTGGAGCCAAGGAACTCTTCAAGGCACCTGAGCTGGATACTCTGGAGCCTGGAGAGGGAGGAGTACCCCAACTTTCTTTGGCCCCCCCGAAGAGCTGGTAGTGGTGAGGAACTGATAAGGAAAAGAAAAATATAATAATAAAATAAAGAGATTTAGAACTGGGGGCGGGGGGTTCAGAACTGTGCTTGGGAGAGATACTAGCTCCCACTGTTCAGTCTAGCTACACGTGGATACCTCTGTCCATCGGGCACTGCTTTCTATGTTAAAGAACCATAAATTAGTCCTTGAGCCCCCAACATCACCAAATTTGGATTTCCTCCTAACTTATTCAGCAAGATGGGTACAGATGTCTCATCATAAGGTTTCTTTTTCCCCTCAAGAATCTATTTCCTTCTATTTGAATTACAAAAATGTTCAGTGACTTGACTTCTATTTTATCTAGACATAATTGTGAAAGGTATAATTTTAAAAAAATCCACTTATTATATAACCACTGATTTTTCTACCAGCAGTCCTGAAATCCCTTGTACTGGTACTGGGGTTTGAACTCAGGGCCAAGATTTTCTCCCTTAGCTTTTTCACTCAAGGTAGGAGCTCTACTACCTGAGCCACACTTCCACTTCTTGCGTTTGGGTGATTAATTGGAGATATTGTCTCCTGGACTTTTCCACCTGGGCTGGCTTCAAACCATGATCCTCAGAGCTCAGCCTACTGATTATAGGTGTGAGCCATTAGCATGGAACACATAAATATTTATTAATTTAAAACAGCTTGTTGCCGCTTCTTTTTGACCAAGAATACATTTAAATCAGCTTTAAAATCAGTCATATTTGAGGTTTGAGCAAGGTATTGTGAACAGAACATCCCACCTAGTGCTGTCAGTGAACAATTTTATTTCCACTAGGAGTGTTCCTGAACTCTCCCCATTAATTGCTCAGAGCCACTCCATTAATTCCCTATAAAGCAGGTCAGTGTGTTAACCTGTTAGGGATGTGCATACTGGAGGACTGTGTTTCTCTCTCTTAAGGCACTTTTTGCAGTCAATTTAAGAGAATGAGAAATGTTGCCTTTGCAAAAGCTAATGGCAATGCAAATACTCTTGTGCAAAATGCTAAACTCATCTTCTTGACTTCAACATGAGCTTGACTTTTTGAGGTTATTGGATTGTTTGAGTCCTCTCCCCAATGGGAGATATAGAGAAATAGGAAATGAATCTAAAGATAAAATTTTTTCTTCAGCTCAGACCAGAAAAAAAATAAGCATTTTACAGAGTTCACAGCCAAAATACAAAAATGTAAACAACACTCTCTTTTCCTTGCTTAAGTAAAATACAGATTCAAAAGGGACTCTGTATGCTTGGATGATGAAAGACGATTTTTAAAAATTGGAAAACCAAACAAGTCCTGAAACACAGGATATGTTCTCTCCCTTTCCCTCTCTCCCTCCCTCCCTCCCTCCCTTCCTTCCTTCCTTCCTTCCTTCCTTCCTTCCTTCCTTCCATCCTTCCTTCCTTCTTCCTTCCTTTCTTCCTCTCTTTCTTTCTCTTTCTTAATTTCTTTCTTCCTTTCTTTCTTTCTCTTTCTTCTTTCTCTCTTTCCCTCCCTCCTTCCCTCCCTTCCTTCCTTCTTCCACTAGGGTTTGAAATCAGGGCCTTGTGCTCTTGCTTGGCTTCCCCCCTCCCCCCCTCCAAGACCACCATCTACAACTGGAACCACACCACTGCTTCTGATTTTTTGCTGGTTAATTGGAGTCTCATGGACTTTCCTGCCCAGGCTGGCTTCAAATCATAATCCTCAGATCTCAGCCTCCTAAGAAGCTAAAATTATAGGCCTGAGTCATGGGTGTTCCACTTAGGAGATATATTTTTAAAATATTTAACATTCATCTTGAAGTGTCATTTAAGAATTATAGTACCTAGATGTGACTGGGGCAAAATGCTTTTTGAGGAGAAGATTCCTACTAAGAAGTCTCAAAGAAGGCTGATTGAAGCTGTCTGGTCTTTTTTTTTTCTCCCTATACAGAGGAGCCCACCCAGGAGGGGACCATGATAATGTCAGGGAGGGAGGGTGTCTGGGAGTATACCCAGCAGCTCAGATGAGCACTAGGGATCCAATCTGATCTTCAGGGAAATTGTGATCCCAGATTGGAGGAGTTGTATGGCAGACCTCAACTTCTACAAATAAAATGCTTCCCAGGAATGGCCTCAGAGAAAATAACACACTGGCTGTTCCTCCAATCCCATAAGCCCATGGGCTGGTGTGCAAATAGCCTTGAAACTTTGTTTTACTTCATATAAGATTATACAGGGGTATTCCCTAATTGTGAATTCCACAGATAATTAAAGCATTACCACTCTGGTATTATTATGTGAGTCTCTGAGAACAAAGGTTAAGAGGGAAGGCAAATCTGTTTTCTAAACCTGTTCAAATTGAAGCCATAATTCATACTTGGTCCAGCTCTGTGAACTTTCATGGAGTGTCTCCACTCAGTTAGGCAGGCATAATATTGGGGATAATTGGTGCCCAGTGTAGGTTCAGCTGCATATCTTACCCACTTATAAGGGTCAGATTCATTCTTGACCAGTTTATGAACGTGAGCCATAGGGCCATAAAATCTTTCCAAATTCAAAGTTTCAAGATTATTAAGCACCAATTCTTTCTGTACAATTACCCATTAAAAGATTAAGTGAAGTAAGCCAGGCCCAAAGAAACATAGGTCCTATGGTTTCCCTTATTTGCAATAACTAGTATATGTCTGGGACAAGCAGAAAAGGTCAAAAGCTATGTGCATATGACCAGATAAGATGATGTTAAGTGAATTGAAGTGGTTTTTTTTCTTTCTTTATATTGTTCCTAACGTATTTATAATGTACCATGTGATTTTTTTTTCTTTGTGTGTTCCTCCCCCATGGTATAACCCCTGTTTTCACTGTATTTGATGTTGGGGCCCTGCATCTTGTATATACACTTCTCTGGCTTGGGAAGGGGAAGGGAAAAAACAAAATGCTTAAATAAGGATACAGGTTGACCCATTGTAACAATGAGATGCACAAGACACTATGTTGAAAAATGAACTTTACAATGTAGGGCAGGGGGGGTAGGGTGGGGGGGGAGTGTAGTTGTGGAAGTGGGAGGGAAGAAAGGGTAAGGGAAAAACAAAGGAGGAGGTAACAATACTTGATAGGAAATGTACTCATTACCTTGCTCATGTAACTGTAACCCCTCTGTACAGTATTTTTACAATAAAAACGTATTTTAAAAAATTCAGGTTTGAAAAGCAATGCTTGAAGAATCCTTTCGCTCTCCCAACTGCCTTTGGCAGAAGATACTCATATTCTCAGGCCTTGTATAATATGATGTGTGCTTTGTTGGAAAGAAAGAGCCATAAAGTACTGTGAAAGTTATAAATAGGTTCCAAGCTTGTCATATCCAAATTAGTACATATAGATGGCCCTGAATCCTTGGTTCCTACTTGTTCCTTGGCAACACTGATAGTGTTTTATTACTTACAGTAAATTATTGTCCACTTTGTTCAAAATCTTTATGTAACTATTAAAGGTTGAAACTAAACTCAAATTTTGACATTTGTTTATCTATTCTTTTTCCTTCTTTCTTCTTCATCATGGAGATCAACTGTATGCATACAAGCTTCTAGAAGGACTTTGCAAAAAGAGGGTAATTGTTCACGAAGACTGAAAAGCACAACTCTGGCTCTCAGGATACTCCTAAATATTGCTGTGGATAAGAAGCCACCTACAGTGGATGGTTTCATGATGTCACCAGATTTCTTGCAGATCACTGAAACCCTGGGCAGATACTCCCCAGACACATGCAAAGATATCTATCTTCAAGTTTTATGGGAAGAAATCCTTCCTTCCTTCCTTC